CACGTCTCGGGGTCCCCATTCAGGAAGACGGCAGTGACCAGCGCAGCTGAGTCTGCTGGCAATGGCTTTTATGCTTCTTTGCCAAGTCACTGTTCGACCGCTTCTTGCTCGTTTCCACCCCTCACGTGGTTGTGCGAAAAGAGCCCTTCGAGGAAGTCGGTCGACAGCACGTGGCCAAGCCAGCGCAACCTATGAAGTGTGATCAGTTCACCTATCGAGGGTGAGTTATTTCTTCCGAATACCATTCGACGGATTTCAGCACTACTTATCGGGTTCTCCCACCAGATTCGGGCAATGCTCCGAAGACATCGATGGTCAAACACTGAAAGTCTTGACGTCCACGGTGCGCAGCGGCCAGGTTTCTGTTTCATATAGTAATATGGAGCGCACCGCAGCATTGTAAACTCGACCCTTGACAGAGAAGCTGATGTCACGCCTACGCCACAGGTGACATAGGTTCGCAAAAGCTGCTCTGGCCTTCCCAATCCGGATGGAAATTCCATCTTTTGTGAGACCACCGGGATTGATACAGCTGCATTGGAAGCAAATTTGCCTACTACGCGTGCCTATACCTCCCCATTTTCCAGTGACTGAAACTATAGCATGTGGAACCAAAGTACTTGCGGTACCTTGTCTATAGCTAACAAATTGAACTGAAACTGACCCGGCTTGTTCAGTGCCAACACACTGCATTACTGTTCTTCTTGGCCGTAGCTTCGTGGGAATATACATCATGGCCTAGACGTATACGTTGTGTAGATGTATTGTGCCGAGTATGGTAGGCCAGCAACCCTGGTTGGGCGTGCGTCCTGATATTGAAGGTGATTTGAAAGACAGGCTACTTCTGCATGAGATGGTATAATGGTGCAAACGATCATAAATTCAAATTTTGGCATATGTAAGTACTCTAAAAATGATTGCTTTGGGAATACTGACTCTCCCGATACCTCAGTATTCTCCTTGGGTCACCTTGAAACCGACAGATGGTGGTGATCGGTCCATTTACTTGGAAGAGGAGACAGGTCCATTGTTGGTCTGTTCGTTGTTGGCTGTTCTCATGCCCATCCGGCTGTGATAGGTGGTAGTCTATAAGTCTCTAGTAGTATGTTCGCGGGCTGGGTTGATGTTTCCTATAGATGGTGCAGATGGAGCTGCTTATATCGAGTCCAGGCGTTTCCACGTGTGTGAAGAATGCGACTTTCGATCCACGCCGTCGGCCGATATGTTTCAACGAAGTGACGCGTCCAAACCTTCAATGGAGCTCCCGCTTCCACCGGACGAGGAGACTGTGCATGGCAGAATAGATGGTTTGCAGCTTACTGCACGTCATTGCTTCAGCTGGTGACTGGCGATTTTTAAGATATCCTTGGGTTTTGTTAGGCGCACGAGTGAGAATCACTGAAGGATGTTGACGGATATCCCAGTTTCCTCCTGCTGGATTCTGTCAGGGTGAATGCACCCGTTCGGCGCACGATTGAGAATCACTGAAGGATGTTGACGGATTTTCCCCCTGCTGGATTCTGTCAGGGTGAATGCACCTTCCGAACAACAGTTCAGGTTTCCGGCGTCTACACTGCCAGGCTAGATGCCGCTGTTACGACTTGTTTTGAATTTACCTCGCAGTTCAGGATGATGCTTGGAATGTTCGACCCTTGTGTCTTGATCTTCACCTGGCAGAGCAGGATAAGTACTGCGGTCTGATCATTCTTGGAAGTTCACGGGGAGTCGTAGCGAATGGTATCAAGGGCGACCATTTTGTTGTTTGTCGCCTCCGCAGTCTTTTGCCTAATTACTACTAATCCGACTCTTTCTTTGCGCCACTTTGAATCAAGCACACAAGACAGCATTTCTACCCGTTTTTTCTTTCCTGGATTCACTCTTCGATCGAGATATGTACTGCGCGACCCAAAAAATTTTCCTCCTAGTCATTACAGATTCATCTAGCCAGTCAGCTCGATCTGTGGTTTCAAGTCATCAGTTGTCAACCGCTTTGAAACGCCTCATGCCCTCGGCCCACAGAGGTCAGGTCTCTTCGTCATAAATTATGATGATCCAGGCGGTAGCTGAGTGCTGTTCCAACCTAAAGCACAGGGGACGCAGATTAGTGAAAGGCATTCGGGCCTTCGACATGCATTGAAGTGTACCATGTTGCCATTTGAACCAGTACGGATTCCGCTACAGGGACTGTGTTCTAAAAGCCTCAGTACCAATCTCTGAATTGTAAGAGGCGCACAGAGGATCTATACCAATCTGTATACACGAATTTATATACGATTTCCCACAACGGACACTTTCGCCAGCATCATCATCATCATCAATCATCGACAGCATGGCATCAGTGTTCAACACCGATGCTTTGCCTGCATACTTCCTTCCGAATCCATTAGGCCCTAACATCTACAGCTCGCAGCATCCATTGCTGGTGAAACAGACTTTATCTACTTAACCGAACAACTCTAAGCTTTCATCAGGTTCGGGTTGTCCAACACGACCTCTGCCTCTCGACTTCCCCTGTCTAGCCTTGGGCAACCTGGCAATACCTCAGCCCTCGTGCTCACCCCGGGTGGCA